CTAATGCCCAGTGTGGAACACACACACACACACACACACACACATCTCATTCTAGAAAGGCGATAGTCACATCTCATGGGGCAACAGAGAAGAATTTCCAAACACCATCGAAGCTTGCAGGGCACCATTCTGGTGATGCTGTGTCAAGTGATGTTACTTCCTGTCCTTCATCTCCTTCCTAACAAGTCCCTTAGGGCCTTCAGTCTTGCTTGGAGTTAGAACATAAGCCACTTGGTTTCCAGAGCAAAACTCTGCTTGGAAGGGTTCAGACCATGAATCTCAGCAGAGTGGGAGGCTCCACGCAGTGCACCTGGGACTGGAGCCCTCCTGCTCCTCCTTCGTCAGCCAGAGCCATTCTCTCTCCAGAGGTACTTGTTCTGATGACAAGGGACCCTGCCTAGCTCCTGTGTGCCCCAGAAGGTGAACCTGCACTGTGCTTCCTTTGCAGTCCTCACTGGGGTTTCACTGCTTTGTGGGGGAGCCAATTCAGGATGCTGGCACCCTGCTGCCACTGGTCACTGTAAATAGGCACCCTGCTGGCACCTCTCCCCTAGGAGAGGCCCTAGAGGCTGCCCCTCCCAGACAGAGCTGTCTCTGCATGCTTGAACATGAATATGCATCTTGGCTGGATGTGTGGGCCAGCCCTGCTCATGGGATGGCCCTTCAATCTGTTTCTCAGGACTCTTCTCCTCCACAGGGCCCCAGCTTGCATCTAGTGCCAAAGTCACAGGTTAGGACAGGCCCTGGTGTGCCAGTTCGAATGTGCGTGACTAGCTCTGGGTGAGTCTGTTCCAGTAATTCCAGGAACAACCTCTCACTATTTCCACACCTATTGTTCTGTGGGCACCCTCTCAGCAGTGCCATAAACAGGCAGAACAAATGTGAACCCCTGACCCTTGGTCTGCATTGAGAAATTGCAAGTCATATGAATTGTCCACTGGTTGATGGGTGGCCAGAGCAGAAGCAGACACCAGGCTTTTTGACTCTTACTCCAGGGCTGCCACCACGTGCTGARTAGACTCAGACTTCTCCAGTCTTAATTTCCTGAAGGCAAGCCACAGATTACCTGTTGTGACACTGTGGTATATAATGAGAAATGAATCTTTGGTATTTCTTCCCATTTCCTATGCAGAGCACTGAAAACCCTTATAATTTCCTAAGTGGTGGGAGGATAAAGGTAGTTGGAGTTGTTGTCCATCATAAGCCCCTTTAACCACAGCTGGGTCTAGCTGATGCGGGAATTTGGAAAGCCCAGAAGGGGGGGTCAGTTGCCAGGGGAACCAAGCAGGTGATTAGAGGGAAGAGAGGAGAAAGGGGCTGAAGGGTGAGCTGGTCACCAATGGCCAGAGATTCAATCACTCATGCCTATTGCAGAAGGAAGCCTGCAGGAAACACAACAAGGTCGGATGCAGAGAGATTCAGGTGGCCGAAGGCAGGGAGGCTGCGGTGCTGCGGGAGGAGCATGGGAATCCTGTCCCCCTTCATCCACCCCAGAAGCTGCTGCTTCATCTGGCTGTTCATCTGCATCCTGTGGCATACCCTTGCTGGTAATCCAGTCCCCGGCCATTTCCTTGGTCTGTGTGACTTTCTAGTAAAGGACTGAGGACAGGAAGTGAGTATGGGTACCTCTGGTGTGTAGGCAGGTCATACAGACAGAGTTGTGGATATGTGAAGTGGGGACAGTCCCATGGGATGCAGCCCTGGAGTCCTGAGCTCAGCATGACTCTTTTGGGGTCAGAATGACCCGACCTGTGGACGTCCTGCTGGTGTAGCAGGATTGGTTCCAGTGAGGGTAGGTCGCTGCACCTCTCGCCCCAGGAGTGCTCTGTGCGGACCTAGAGCGTGTAAGGAGGTTGGCTTTTCCTTGGGCATGTGCTCCAGAGGAGGGACCGACTCCTTGGAAAGGAGCATGTGGTCCTGGCCCATTCCTGGTTCATGAGGGAATCCTCTTGACTTCAATGAAGGATGAACACGGGGTGTGAGATTGAGGCAGGCCCACCCAATGCTCATGTATTCATTCAGCAAAGATTTATGGAGAGCCTACTGTATGCCAGCCATTGCTGTGGATGCTGGGGATGAGCAGAGAACAAAGCAAACATTGTCCCTGCCCTTACGGCGCTCCCACGAATGGAGAGACGAGCAGTAAATAAGCAATAGGGCAGTGGGTGAAGGAGGAGAAGGGCAGTAAATAAGCAATAGGGCAGTGGGTGAAGGAGGGAAGGGGCTTGGGAGTGTCCCTGGGCTGTTTCATAATGAGGGAAGGTGAGGTTAAAGGCCCCGAGCAGCCCTGAAAAGAAGGGAGTGATCACGCTGTGTGGACGTGGAGTTGCCATCTCGGTCATCATCATCATCTCGAGCAGGGATTGGCAAACGATAGCCACAGGCCGACGCTGGCCCATGGCTTGATGTTACTGGAACCCGTCCAGCCCATCTGTTACTATCATCTGCGGTGGCACTCCTGCCACAATGGCAGGGCTGAGTCATTACCAAAGAGACAGGATGGCCTGCAAACCTAAAAGGTGTTCTATTCGAGCCTTTATAGTAGACGTCTTCCAACCCTAATCTGCACCAGAGGTTCTCAAAGTGTAGGAACCCTGTCATTCTCTGCGTCCCGGGTAGTGGGAGTGTAGAGTGGAATGCTAGTCAGAATAGCACTGAGACATTGCTGCTTCTGTGCTCACCTTCTCCTGAGGGTGCCATAGAGCCTGTGTGGGACACTGCAGCAGAGTGACTGAAGGGGGAGACAGGGCAGTACAGCTGGCATTCTGAGGCCGGGCTTTAAAGGGCCTGTGAGGACGTAACCGAATGTCCCCCTCTTCTACTTCTGTAGGTTAGGGGAGATGTAGTTATTTTTCAAAAAAGTAATTATGTTGACATATAATGGGCTTATCCTGTTAAATACGCTGAGGAAGTATTTAAAACTGGGTCAGTTTAATCTCTGCCGTCGTTCCCATGCACAGACATGACCCACAAGCACCAAGGCTTTGGGGGCCCTCAGTTATTGTGGAGGGTGCACCAAGTGAAAGGCACAGAAGGCCATTCGTTTGGCAAGCTCTAAGTTGCCGACGCACGGTGGTGAGACTTGTGCTGGAGTTCCACTTCTCCTCCCCAGAAATCAGGAGGGCAAGGGAGARCAGAGAAAGGAGCCTGTGTTCGAGTGTGAGAAGGGAGTTTCTTCACCCTGAGCCTTTTTGAGGAGGCCGGACTGAGAACACCACTCTGGCTCTGTTCTGTTTGTGTTCTCCTTGTTTTTTATTCTGTCTATAAAACCTCCTGGGCTCAGTTTGTCAGGACATTCCTCTTTTATACATTCTAGAACTGCCCAGTTCTAGAATTGTAAATAAAAAGCAAATTAAGTTCCTTACACAGGTTGGTTTTAATTGGCATTGTCATTTATCAAGAGTAAAGAAGTCCAGGAGCAATAAGCAGATCTAGAAGTAGCCAATTTTGTGTCTTCTTGGGAAGCGCAGGAGTGAGAGGTGCCCTTTGTATGGGTAGCAAGCTGCAGGTTCTCACCTGTAGAAGGATGGCACACCTGCCTTCTGTGTTTGGACTGCAGCAGATGGCGGGTGGGTGTTGTGGGTTGAATTGCCTCCCGCTACAAGATATGTTGAAGTCTGACACACAGCCCCTCAGAATGTGACCTTATTTGGACATAGAGTCATTGCAGATGGAATTAGTCAAAATTAGGCTGTTGCTGTGGTTCCTGACCCGACAGACTGGTGTCCTTATAAAAATGGGAAAATTTGGGCACAGAGACACACACGTGGAAGMGCAGGTGAAGATACAGGCAGAGGTCAGGTGATGCTTCCAGAAAGCCAAGGACACCAAAGACTGCCAGCAGTCCCCATAGGCTCAGGGAGATGTCCACATAGATTCTCCATTCCAGACTGAGAAGGGGCAAACCCTGTTGTAATGTTGGTCTCAGATGTCCAGCCTCCAGAGCTGGGGGACAATACGTTKCTATTGTGCAGGCCACACTATCTCTGGTGTGCTGTAAGCCACCAGCTTTTGGTTCCTTTGTTTCAACTTGTTGGGKGACAAGCCTTCAAGTGCTATCCTGCCACCACTTATATTTCCACATTTTCTCCCTTGTCTATTTTTCTACCTGCTCTTCTGTCTCTTCTCCTCTTCCTGTACTTCTCTCCTCTTCCCTAAGGCAAAGCCAAGGTCTTCAATTGATTGAGAATTTTGCAGAGCTACTTGGGCCATCGGAATGGCCCTCAGTTCATGTCATATTGAGACCAGATGCCTGATCACAGCCCTAGGAGGGCCTCTATGGGACCTGTCCTCTGGCACACAGAAGAATTAACTCAGATAACTCTTGCATCAGGCCTGGGAGAGATCCTGATGCAATCTCCCCTAAGTAGATGTGGCYGCTGAGAGGGGAAGCACCCAGGCCAGCTGGCCTGGGCCGGCTGCCCCTGGACCTGTGCTCAGCTGCACTTTAGTGGAGATGTTCTTAGAGCATCCATCCCTCAGGGCTATTTTTGCTGCATATAAAAGGAAACCCCCAGCAGCACAGGCTCACCTGAGGCACTTGGGGAGGGTGGCCTCAGGTTCTTGTAGTGCAGCTTGGCTTCCTGCAGTGCACCTTTCTCCAGCAATCCCTCTGAGAAGCTGAATGTCAAGGGGAGGGGACGGTGCTACTGTGTTGTTTGCAACCTTGAATTTGTCGTCTGTTCAACTAATGTTTCCTTTCTGATCTGAGAAAAGTTGTCAAGAGAGGGGGAGAGCATGGACAGGTCTTCCTCCCTGGGGACGACTGGGGACGCAGCTGAGGTCAGAGGGCCACAGCCCACAGAGCTCTCCCCAGGTGGCCCTCTTAGAGAGGGAAAAAGATTCAAGGAAGGCTAGACTCTGAGGTGATGRCTGGCAGGCTTGTGAGTGCTGTGAGTTAGCTGTTTGATTAAGTATGGTTAAATATTAATTGGACTGCTTTTGTTTCAAAGGCAGGATTCAGAGCAAGGGAGAAGCAGGCAGTCTGTGAAAGCCACCGGTTGGCTGAGGGAGAATGGCTGGGAGCCCCCGGGGTCCCTTTGCTTCTCCTGGGAGGTCTGTCCTCCTTCCCGTGGTTCAGAGAGTTTCTGCAGGGCTTTTCTTCATAGCACTTTGGGGCACAGTTGTAGGTGACAGGCTGCTGGTGGTCCCTCAGGATGGAAGCCACTGGCTTAGTATGAAGGACATAGTTGAGCGTCTCAGTGRCCGTGGCCATGACATCGTGGTGGTGGTGCCAGAGACCAATTTGCTTCTGAAGGAATCGACACACTACAGAAGGAGAGTGTACCCGGTGCCCTATGGCCAGGAGGAGATGGAGGGCCGCTACCGCTCTTTTGGGAATCAGCACTTTGCTGAGAGATCCTTCCTGACGGCCGCGCAGACAGAGTACAGGAATAACATGGTTGTCATCGACATGTACTTCCTCAACTGCCAGAGCCTCCTGCAGGACTCTGACACCCTGAGTTTCCTCCAGGGGAGCAGGTTCGATGCTCTTTTCACAGACCCGGCCTTGCCCTGTGGTGTGATCCTGGCCGAGTACCTGGGTCTGCCCTCTGTGTACCTCTTCAGGGGCTTCCCGTGTTCCTTGGAGCACGCTTTGGGCGGAAGCCCGAACCCCGTGTCTTACATCCCCAGGTGCTACACTCAGTTCTCAGCCCACATGACGTTTCCCCAACGCGTGGCCAACTTCCTGGTGAACTTCTTGGAGAGCTATCTGTTTCACTGTCTGTATTCAAAGTACGAGGAGCTGGCCTCAGGCCTGCTCGGGAGAGAAGTGCACCTGTCTGCCTTGTATCAAAAGGACCCCGTGTGGCTGCTGAGGTACGACTTTGTGCTGGAGTTCCCCAGGCCAGCCATGCCCAACATGGTCTTCATTGGAGGGACCAACTGCAAGAAGCGCCGTGTCCTGTCCCAGGTTGGTGGTTTGGCTCCTCGTGGATTGCCCTGTGTCTTGTGGGCAGGTTCTGTCCCTGTCCCTCAGTCTCGCTGGGCAGGGTTGTCAGAGGAATGGTGGTGGGAAGGGGAAGCCAGGTGTAGAGTAGCAGGACAGGAAGGCCTGGGGCCCAGGTGAGGGGAGGCARTTGAGTGAAGCCTTGCCTGGCCACAGGAAGAGGCACGCTCAGTTAGGTTATCTGGGGACAGTCTCACAACCATTGCAGGAGGCTTAGGAATGTTCCCATCCAAACAGGGGAAGGCTTGACCCAGGGGCAGGTCAAAACCATCCTCCCAATTCTGTCCTCTGGTTTGCCCCTGGGCCCTGAGCTAGAGGTGACCTGTGGGCCACATCTGCCCCAGGCCTCTTTACAATGGCCCACAGCTAAGCAGGGTTTTGTAGTGTTAAAGGGATATTCATAACCATGGAGGATGCGTGGCAGAGCTGTGTGGCCCTGCATCCTTACTGGCCTTTGTGGGAGAGGGGTCRTGGTCTCAGGCCAGTGTTTGTAGATGCCCTCCTGAGGTAGTGCCCAGTGTAACCTGGGAAAATAATCATCTGGGAGACTTTCTCACAAATGTAATCAATCCTGGCTGTGATGGCACACACCTGTAATCACAGTGACTTGGAGTTTGAGGCAGGAGGATGGCAAGTTCAAAGCCAGCCTTAGCAACTTTGTGAGGCCGTCAACAAACTAGGGAGTCCCTGTCTCAAAATGAAAACACAAAAATGGGTGGGGATGTAGCTCAGTGCTTGAGAGCCCCAGGTTCGAACCAAGTACAGAAATAAAAATAAAAAAGTACACATAGTGACCCTCTGTAAGGAATCAGCCCCCTCTGTCTTCCACCCCAGAATGTTCCTTTTCAATGCATTGTTCATCCAAGAGCAAGTCTCCAAGAGGTCGCAAGGACCCCTCCACACTTCTATAACACCTGCTGCGTTGTGTGTTAACAGCAAGAGGCACGCTCAGTTAGGTTATCTGGGGACAGTCACACAACCATTGCAGGAGGCTTAGGAATGTTCCCATCCAAACAGAGGGGAAAGYTTGACCCAGGGGCAGGTCAAAACCATCCTCCCAATTCTGTCCTCTGGTTTGCCCCTGGGCCCTGAGCTAGAGGTGACCTGTGGCCATGGCTACTGGGAAGCCCTCTGAAAATGGCGCTGACTGTGTGAACCTCAGCCCTTCACAGGGCTGCTGAGGATCCATGTGCCCCACACAGCATGTGACCGTGCTTTGCAGAGGGACAGGGGTCTGGTGGCTCTGGCCCTCTCTTCCTTGGAGCCTGGTTCCATACCAACAGGAAGTTCTTCCTCTTGTGTTCCACAGTCTTTTCAATTGTGGTTCTCCATTGGGGTCTCTTTTGACCTGAGGGGGAAATGGTGGACACAAAGATTTGTCTGTCCCCAAATGTCAATCTTTGGGAATGTCCRCTGTAAATACATGCCAAGTGTGTTTCACTGACTCTCTGCAGCAAGGCAAATGTGAGGACCAGATTCTCTCCAAGACTTTACAAGAGACGCTCTTGCAGACTGACATCTCGGCATGTCCTGGTTGAGCCCAAGGTGGATTCCTGGCAAGCCAGGGGCACAGAATCCCAAAATGCAAGTCATCGTTAACAGGCATTTTTTAAGGTCCATGATTTAAGCCAGTGTCTGTAAAGTTTGGCTTTTCTTTCAACATCCCCAGTTTATCTTTATGAATAGTTCTTTTGGAGGTTATCAGATGTGGAGGTTTTGGCAGCAGTGTTTCTGTTAATAAGTTATCATGTAAGAGTGACTAAGAGCTGGAACGCATTCAGGTTTTTACAAAGTGCTGGACACGAACATGAAAAACCCAGAAAGTTGGCTAACAATTTACATAATGCCACAAAGAATTGGCTTTAAAAGCTGCATTCCTTATGCCTGGTGTGTTGTCTCAGCACATTTTATTTCAAATATGTTTTCAGAAAGAACTTTTTAGAATAATTCACATGCCCTGCAACTCACTCATTTAATGTTTATAGTTTGTTGGTTTTACATTCTCAGATTAGGGCACTCCACCATGCGGCCTGCACAATGGTTTCATTAATGAGGTTCTTGGCATAAAAGTTAGCTAATGAGATCGAAATAAAACACACAGACTCAGTTACCTTATTTCTATTGCCAGGTCCGAGACGGCTCCCCTCTCTGGTTCTCACCTCTAACCGCCCGGCAGGGCAGCAAGGATTACTCAGGGCCAGCAGGAGAGAGAGAGGGTGGGCACGCCAGGGAGTAGCCTTTTATTGGGGAACAAGAGATTCAGGGGAGAATTCCATCCAATGAAGGTTGAGGGGGGCTGCACTCCAAGGTCAGGGTCAGTGATTGGGCCCCCGGGGTCAGTGGTCAGTCACACCCCCACACGGATGGGTTCTCTCATCAGGAGAGGGCCGGGAAAG